AGTCGTGTGAACTGAGTTGGAAGTCCTTCCTGGCTCGGGCAAATTGGAGAGGAACCGGTGGGTTCAACCGGAGGGCTTCGTACACTACGGACTGAACCAGTTGCAAGTTTTTCACCGAGTCGAAACTCAAAGTTGAACCGGCGTTTTCTCTGACTTCCTTGACTATTTTGGCTTGTAAACCGGTGGTGTCGCTTGCTATTGTGCCTATCAAACTTGGCAGAAAGACAGAAAACCCACCAAATGCATTGAAACCAAGTACAAAGAGAAGGTTGTGAATTGTTACTTCTTTGGTCAGTCCGAAATCGGTTTCACCTCTCTTTACTACTTCTTTGCCTGTAAACAAGTCCATTTGTATTCTTGAACACATAAAATCAAGATATAGATAGCATTAGACTTATCGAGCAATGTCATATGTATTACTGATCACATCTCCAATAGCGTGTATTATGTTGGCACCTTTATAGTTATAGGTCAGAGACATGTACGGTGATGCTCTCTTACTAATTTTATGTTTGCAGACAAATCGATCACATCTCTAATAGTTTGTACTATATCAGGTGACTCCATGGGACACGTATGGTAATGCTCTCTCTTTAGTCTTATGTTAACATACAAACGTTTATATTGTCAGTCTGTGAATTTGAACCGCACATCAAGCAATAATCAACTTAATCAATAGTCTAACAAGAAAACTTTTATACGGATATGTCGTCTATACTCTATAGTATGTTAATGAATGCAAGTAGAAAAAAGTTTTGAATTCAAATATATCTCGAAAGGAATGAGATTGATAGTTTGTTTAAGTTCCAAGTAACTTACCATGTTCTTCTATAAACTGGTAAAGCTGGTTGTAGTCTCCACTGACTAGAAAAGAAGGGTATGCAAAAGAATGGAGGAGAATCTCCTCCAGGGGCTGAAGCACACCAATCTTGACTGTGGGGAGAAGCTGGAGGGCGAGCCACCGGTCAAGCATGGCGTAGCCGGACTTCGCTATCTTGGGCGAGCTTGCCGGGTCAGCTCCAACTAAGCATTTAGTGAGAAACTTGAAGATGAACTTCTGAAGTGGGATCAAGTAGCTGGCACTCCCATCTTTGGAGACGTCTGCTTCTATTGTGTCCCAGAAGGTTGAGAGGTTGGCAGTGAGCTCAGGCACCCATGTCTTGGAGCTTCTTTTTAAGATGTCCATGGCAAAGTTTTTGATCTGTGAAGAATATATTAAGATGGTATTGGTAAGTTAATAGAAATTAAACTTACCAAAAGATGACCAACTATACAGTAGAATTCATATTTTGCAAGATGAAAACGTTTTTCACTTCCTGTCGAAATCAAATTAAGCACACTAAGCATTTAGGTTAGCAAAGTAAATCCCGCCGTGGTACCAGATTACCTAAACCCTAAAGAGACGAAAACCTTTTTCATGAGTTGTACCATTGAAGCCCGTTTGATCATCCTGCATAGCACATCATGTATCAACAAAAATAGAAAAAGCTACTGTACAACCCTCCCTGGTCTGTATGAAATTTTTAGGTCAAATTTCATAGACGACAAGTAAAAGAAAAACCCTTAAATAACATTTGTTCATCTATCTAAAATATTTTTGTGTGGTTTCGAGTCTAGATCCCTAGTTTTACAACCTTTCATTCCAATGAAATACTGAGAGTGCGAAAATCACAGCCGACAAAAAAAATTACTCCAAAAAAAAAAAAAAAAAAGAGGGAAAGAGAAACTGTAGGAAATGAATCCCATATATCTCATTTCCCACACTCATCTGCAACTAAAAATCACCACGAACCAATTGTTTAATGGTCCCTACGAGTACAAGTAGGAGTCGCTATCATATTCGCGTACATTTTGGATTGATTTGGACCATCTGGGACTTTTCTATGGAACACAAAAACCACAAACCAGTTCTTTTCTTCCAGCCAACATATCCAACCAGTCCCTCGTCGGAAAATCTACTTCTGCTTCAGCAACAACGAGAAACAAATAATATCTTTAAATGCTCAACACAATTTTCTCTTCCTAAAAACCAGGTGACGTTCTTTTTTTGCCATGACCGTCGGAATCGTACATTCTAACACTTATAAATCATCCAAACATTACGTTGCGAAAAACCAAATTAATCCACATTTACAGCCTGACAATCCATATTTATATATTTCTAGTAAAATACTGGATAAATTAATTTCTTAACCACACTGCAAAAATCTCACTCAACCCTTTTGGACAATTGAAAATTTCAAGCTTGTAATTGATCCCAAAAAATAAAGAAATTCAAGCTTGTACTAGCTGAAACTCTGAAAATCTGTTCAACCAAAAATCAACGAACTATTATGATAAAATAACTTAATTTGGATGCCATATCAATTGGACAAACCGATCATGTTATCCTTAATTATATACTCAAAAAAAATTGGAAATTGGTTAGTTTAGCACTTATAAAATCATTAGAACAACCAATTTTCCTAACTATTTCGCCAACCTAAGCGTAGTTAAGTTGGTTAGAGTATGTGTACATTCACTCTCTACCCTAGTTTTAGTCTCACTTCTGCTCTCGTAATTTAGATTAGATTAGTAATTTAGATTAGATTAGTGCAAAATATCGCTCTAATACAAAAAGAAATCTATAGGTTCCGAATATGTAAAAGAAGAAGAGAAAAAGAAAAGTTGCATACGCGTTGATTCAAACCTGGGAGTGTTGGGGTTCGGATGTATCAAGATAAGCGCAGGTCCTCAAGTCGCCGGTGAACTTAACACTCGGCATGAAGTCTCCGACAAGAACATTCTTCTTCTCGACCAACTCCATGTCGAACATGTACGAGAAGGACTTGCAGTCGAGGACGGCGATGACGTTGGGGTTGACGTTGACGAATAGCGGGAAGCTGGGAGGGATATTTGTGCGGAACACCGTGCTCTTGTACTTCTCGGTGCGCTTCTTGAAGAATGTTTCGGGACCCTGGAACCAGAAGTAGTCCAGGCGATCCGAGATGGGGCCCAGGAGAGGCCAGCCGTACGTTCCGGGGATTGTACGGACTGGCAGAGATGCTGGTGGTTGTGGTTGTGGTTGAGAGAGCGTTGGTGGTGACGGTGACGGTGGGATGCCGGGGGTTGTGCTCATCATGAAAGCCATGATTTATGTTATTTTTGTTGGATATTGAGATTTTGTGTTGTGAAATGAGAGAGGCGATTGTGGGTTGCTCTTTCCAGATGTGAGCTTAAGAGCTATGGCCATATAAATTTCGGAAATATTTGACTTGCTATATTGTAAACTAAAACAAGTTATATTATTTCATCTGTTACAATTGAAGTAAATAATGTGATCGAGATATATTATCTATATGATAAAAACTTATATGGAACTGTTCACCCATAATGTGGCGTCCTGATTTAACTTCGTTGACTGTAAATTGCTTCACTTATAGTTGTAGGATATACTAACACAAATTCATGTCTTACGTTTTGAACAAAAAAGTGATCTTGTTTCAAGTACATATTCAAAATTGCTTGTTATATATATCTCAACTACGTTAACTATGTTGTTAATAATTTATTTTATATACGTAACGATAAGTGAATGAATAAATTAGTATCATACTAGTCATCTACGGGATTCGTAATTAAACTTATCATTTGCAATTCACAAGTGAAGATGAATCTACGAATAACAACTTTCTCTATGCATAAAATAAATTTCGTTAATGAATCAAAGTTTAAACGACAGATAAATCATTAATTGTTTTGAGCGTGATGGGTGGACAAGAAAACCCGTGTTTCTTATTAGTTTATCAGATATAATGTTTCTTTGTATTTCTTTTATTTCGTGGATAAGCCAATAAACTTTAGTGGATTTTTGTTTGTCTGTTTGTTTGAAAGGGGGACAAATAATAGTACACGTTTTCAAGGCATGCTCTATTTTTATTTTAACAAATTATAGAATATCTATATTAAATTATAAAGATAGAAATTTAAGTACAAGGACATCAGATGTAAGATAAATGTTCATAACCAACTGAATTACAAATTATTTGCTTTTATTTATGATCCTTAAATTGAATAAATGAAAAAGGAATCAAAAGACATGTGCATAAAGAGAAAGATGGCTGATTTTTACACTCTTTTTAGCTTTTCACACACACTTATTTATTTTTAACCATCAGATAAAATAAAACAAACGAAAACAACATACAAAATCAAAAAATGGTGCGTTAGAGGAGAAAAAGGGCGTACATTTGTGTGGAAAATTTATTTTCCTTCTAGAAAACATATACTGCTCTACTAGAATGACAATGTTACACTATAACGAATTATTGATCGTGTTAAACAAAACATGTATTTAAAATGATTAAGAGCATTTATTTCACCGTTTCGACTTCGTGTGTTAGAAGAAACACATGATATGTATTTCTAATGCAAGATAAATGATAGGCATGGAACTCGTCGGGTGGCCGTGGTGACACGACATGTAGGGCAGTTGATTGAAGTCACTGTTTATTAATTTACGTTTTTAGTAAGAATTCAATGTATTGATACGTGGCCGCGTCCTGCGTGTGTGCACATGTCCTGCCTCCTCTCTTTTCATGAAGGGAAACGTGGCCCATTGCTTTGATCGATATTTTATGTGGTACTTTCAAAATTGTGTAAGCTTTATATTTTATGACATTGAAATTCTACTGAATAATTGAATGTTAAGTATGTTACAAGAGGTATTTTACATTAACCTATTTATTAGATAAGGTTTGAATTTGTAACGTAGTGGGTTGAAAAGAAAATTTTGATCACTTAAACAACTCATCACTTACTAGTAACAATATTAGTTGTGTCCAAAATCGTGGATTCATTGTAGAATTCACTTGCTAGCATCACTTTATTTCTTTAGCATTAGTAAATCTCAATTAGTACACTTTGACGAATTATTGCTATTTGCCTAGCAATTAACTTTTTTATTTTACAAGCGACATTAGGAGGGAGGAACTTTGAACATAAAATTTCGAGTGCAAAAGTAAACGCTCCTAAGTCTTAACAAATTCAACCACAATTCATTTCTTAACCATGTCACAATCTCTTCAAGACGAATTTAAAATATAAAATTAAGTTGTAAAGTACACTTTTAGACACAGTTTCCATTTCCTATTCAAATAATAAACAGGACGATGAGTTAAGCTCCAAACTTTTTCACGTAAGGTGAACGCTGAGATCATCCAGATTGTTGGAGCCCAGGATCCTCAAACCATGCTCATTGGCCAAATGTAGAAGGCAGATGAAACACAGATGAGGGGAGATGTCATTGATAGTTTCAGCAGCCCTGCAGTCACCCGGAAAGTTGCCCAACATTTGCTTGAAGGATACCAATTGTTCTTCACCCTTCACAAAAGCAGAAATATCAAATAATCAGAATTCACCTTCTCAAAATAATGTCATATCGAATACGTAACAGTAGGATGGTAGATGCAGAAATTACGTTACAAAGCACTTGTACTAATCAGCGTTTTTACTGGAAGCACTTCTATCAAAAGCATGTCAGATTTTTTTTTTATAGAAATAAAAGTGCTTCCTGTAAGTGCTTTTTAGAAGTGCTTCATGAAAAATATATAAATAAATAACTTAGCCGACCTCGATTGATGTTTGAACAGATTCTTGTACATGGTTCCAAAGAGTTTCTTTCAAAGCCTGGACATCGACTTGTTTGGAAGTCTTGTCATACTGGACTTCAACTTTGTTTACCTGCATTGTTTAAATGTAGGAAGCAAACCGTATGCAAAAACTGCTTAGATCTGTTTTAATGGGTTTTGAATTACATACTAAAAGTGTAAAACTATGCCTACGATTGCAATCCTTATCATCTCCGGGATGAACATCTGTAAAACTAGACATAATTCATAGGCCATTTGACACTATGATTCTGACTCATGGAGCTAACTCAAATTACATCAAGCTGAAAAGTTTAGAACCTACCTGGCGAGGCTGAGAAACAAGTGTGCTAAAGTCCTCCACATCACTATGGATATTTCCGTCATCATATTGGCCCCCGAGTCCACTTTCATCATCAGTAGTATGGAAATTGCCCATCAGCGTCACATTGTTGCCTGGATTCATCTGACACCACACCAAGTACTATAAATTGCTTGCACAGTTCATCAGTCATAAAATAAAATATATATAAATAAAAGGATTGATAAAACAAATGGACGTTCCAAAAAATTAATTACTGATATATCTATTTGTTATAAATGAGAAAGAATTTATCACCTGAGGGCTTCCTGCATCGCCTTCCAAGGCACTACAGCCAAAAACAAAAAAAAAAAACATATCATGTAAAGAAAAAGAGTACACCAAAAATTATATGGTATGATTGTTGACACACATTACCTTTACTTGAGGTAGAAGAAATAGCTTTATAAGCTCCTCTGGTTGATAGTGGCAATCCTCAGGAAGTTTTGTATTACAGGGTGCTCTATTTGCAGGGAGCAGTAAGGATTTCGGATTTTTGGGAGGAGCAAAAATATCTGAGAACTCTTCTTCCAAGGATTTTGTGAAATCAAGATCCTGCTGTGCTTTGGTCTTCTTTTGTTTAGCTGTTTCTGGTTGTTCTGCAGGAGGATCGTTCTCGGGAACTGAAAAACCAGATTGTGTGATGTGTTACCATACTATTGAACCACAATAAATACACATACACATATTAGTTGATGACATGATCATTGAATCTGACCTTTAGTTTTTCGATACTTCCAATGATCAGGACCTGCCCAAGCATTTTGTTTCGAAGTAAATCCAAGACTTAAGAACAAATACCCATCAACTTTCTCAAGTCTCTCATCCGTATCAAGTTCATGGTAGGCACCCGGTTCATTTTCCTACAACAGTTGAAAAAATTATCAGAGAATGAAGTCATTGTTCAATAATTCATAAAACTAAAAAGGACTGATGGAAAAAATATATACAATTCAAACTTTATAAGAATAGTATGTTCCAAAACCTCATGATAACTAGGGAGAGTTGAACTTTCACAGTTAAGGCCCTCCTCCACGACACTTGTTTGGTCATCATGATCATAATCCCAGTTCCCGCAATTCTCGGATACATCACAATCAAAATCAGCTTCATTGTTATTGGCAGCATCAACTTGCTCTGCTGATTCTTGATCACATGTATATATATCTGGTGGCCTTCTGTTATCCTCATCAAATCGATCAACTAAACTCCTCAGAGTTGGTGAAATTTCATCTTTGATTCGCATGTTCAATACCATCTGTTCTACATATTCTATAAAAGACCAATGAAAAGTTAATGTTAGTAAACCACATCATTCTTATTTGGGAAAAAATGGCAAGCAGAAATTTACAAAGAACTCAATAGACTACCAAAAACGCAACTCACCACTAGCAAAAGAAAGATCAATGGTATCTGATTTATCGAGTTGATTATCAGATGCTGTAGCACTTCCCTGGTACTTCCGAAGAGTCAAAGAGCACTCTGCATCCACCATACACTCCAAGATTATTCATTAAAAGACCCTTGGCCCCACCTTCATCAAATTGTGCAGACGTCTGATGATAGAGGGGATCAACTGCAAATGCAACTGAAAATACAAACAAAATTGTATTACAAACTTGGCCTTGCATCTCACATTATAAAACTAGTAATAAGGATAGCTCAGGATGAGTGATCACCGTCAAACTTTTTCACATTTAGAGCCTCAAAAGATGATTCCAGCGTTGATAAGGGAGATATCTGCATGTATGAATGTATGTCAGCATTTAGTATACCGGAGTTCAGTAAAACATTGTAGTGAGTCAGAGAATAGTCAACCTTTTTCTGCGTCTCATGCTTGGAATTAGCCGCATCTTTTCCATTGTCAGCATTGGCATCCTCTGCACTGGTATCTAAAATTACAACAGTATCAAGATAATAACAAGATCAATGAAGCACAAACCCAATGTGAAAGAAATTACTATTACAGATGAGATGAGCTGCTTAAAGATAACTATTCCACATAGTCATCATTCCGACAAACTATAAAAATATCACATTGCTTCTGCCAGGAAGGGCCATTGATTATATGTTCTCTAATTCATTTTATAGGTTATAAAATGCAAATGTTAATACAACAACACTATCAATTTTATCTACCTTGAAACAGTAGAATAACTAATACGCCAATAACTGTAACTTTCACAAAATTAGTTTGTCCTTGTTCAGAACCAAGTACAATACTACTTTAAAATCAATATACTTCTTTTTGGCTTGCAAGCGTAAACACTTGAGTAAAAAACAAAGGGCAAAGTTATAGCAGATAGTAAACTCAACCTTGTTCGTCTTCTTGGCCTGCTCTATTCATCCCACCAAGGACCTTATATGCCTCAGAGTGTACAGAATCTACTCTCATTGAGTAAATTTTGACTCCAGCTTCAAGAGTGCAGCTTGCCTGCACAGATAGAGAAGTGATACATATTTAAGCAAACATAGCGTATCCAATTGAATAAGTGAACTTTTGGCATGTTTTTACCAAATCTTGGTCTTGATAGATTTCAAATACCGAAACTAATCTGATGTCATAGTATCAAATGCGCAATTTACCTTTTGAAAATTCGTCTCTGTATCGTTTTCCTCTTCAACCTTAATAATATCCGTTAAATGGTCAATCAAATTCAGCTCCCATGTATTTTTCTGATTAATTTTCTGCACAAAACAGATAAATATCTAACATTTAAATCAAAATCAAATTAGGTCGCCCATTGTATGGTTTAGCCGAACTTCATCCCCTTAGTGTAAAAATATAACCACGTACTCACAAAAAATAAAAATAAAACAGTAAAAAGGCCTCACTAATTTGACAAATAAATGACTAGAAAATTTTAAACTTTTTGTTAAAAAAATAATAATAATTTCAAAATTTTCATTTACTTGAAAAATCTAAACTGACATTTTCACTTGCAAGCTTGATGCAATTCTGGAACAGCTCGAGGATCTGCTCCTTGCCGAGGCCGGGATCGGGGTCGCCCTGCTGTGGCGGCAGATTGAGCGCAATGGACTTTCTTCTTATCGCGGCGGCGCGTGCTGCGCGAGCCTGCGCACGCTCGCGGTGGTCGTCGTTGGAGCCGAGGAAGAAGGGGCTCGTTGGAGACTGGAGACGAGCGGCCATTGGGAGCCTCTGCTTTTGGGTTGCCGGATTAGGGCTCAGAGTGTCGGCCATTGCAATCGGGAAAATCGAATTGGGAAATTAGGGTTTTGAATTGGGAATGTTTATGAGAGTGGGGGAGCGTTTGAGATGCGGGACGAACTGGTTTCCCTCCATTTGATGCGTTTGAAATTTATGTTGGTTTTGAGTGGTATGATACGCTGCTTCTCGTGCATACGATATGGACCTTTTGTTTAGAATTCTTTCCCATCTCATCCGTTTCTTTAATCTAGACCGTTTAAAATATATCTAACGGTTTAAAGTTGTTCAACATTCATTTCTCTTCTCCACTTCTGATCACAGCACCACTTACCCTTCTCACCTTCCACATACCAGCCATGGTTGGCCATCTTCTATCTCCATTGGTGTTGAAAAGGTTCAACCATTTGATGGAAAAAGTTGTTAATGATCTGTTTATTCAATTGGGTTTGAATAAAAGCAATAGAAAAAATAATGCTTCTAAAGTATATGGCACAACTTCAAGTCATTAGATTTTTTTTTGAATGGGCTAGTTTAAAAGGAGGGGATGGGAAGAGAGAGAAGTACGAGGGGAGAGAATCCTCTTTCTAAATTAGAGAGTATGATTGGAGTAGAAGGTGAGAGAATCTTTTATTAAGATTAGAATTTATAGTGAGTGTAGGAGTATAACTTTCTCGGTATAAACGTTCAATTGTTTATTGAAATAGTAAAAAAATAGATATTCTTTACATTTACAAGAATCCCTTTATATAAGAAAGTTTTACACCCGTAAGGAGTAAATAACATAAAGTGAAAGTCCTCATCCAATTTACTATTTCATCTTCCTATTACTATTGTACCTAAAGCCTTTCAATGGTGCCACCATAGTCAAATGTGATTGTTTGCTTCTTTGCTTCTTCATGCATTTTTTAAAAGAAAGGATGACATATATTTTATTGAAGCCGTGAAAAGGCTAATTAGTACAAGATACATGAACATTCTCTTCAAAAAAGTCACAGATTATAGATGGAGAAACATCTAACTAAGTACAATCATTACCACAATAGAGAGCAAAATGAGCTAATCGATGAGCTACCAAGTTAACTTGGCAATGGATGTGGGCAACACAAGCTCCAACAACCATAGACAGCAAGTGTTTTACATCTTCTATAATAGGTCCCATGTGCGACATATTAGTAGAAGAGTCCTACAATGTCAAGACGATCTGAAGCGAATTACTCTCAAAGTCGATTATATTTAAGCCTCATTCAACCGGAGTCTCAAGCCCAACTCTAATTGCCAGCGCCTCCGTTTGAATATGTGAGAAAACATCTTCAAATATTCTAGAGATATTACCCAATTTATACAAGAGCATGTACATCAATTTCACAACATGAGAGATATTATTTTACTTTAATACACACACACACACACACACTTAATGTTTTATCTTTTTTTTTTATAATATTTTATTGCAATCAAAGATAATATAGAAAAATTAGGAATAAGATTGGTATTTTAAGAAAGGGGTTGACAAGCACATTTCTCTTAATAATAGTATGAAATAGATTATGGATGTCCTGATTATAGAATTAAATAGTTCAGAAACGCGAAGCATGTGCAGTTACAAACAAAGCAAGAACACATCATGCAATGTAGTGACAATTACAAGTAGAGTGATGAAGCAAAATCTTTTAATGGAATAACTTTCATTTATGAACATTTTGTCTACAAATTTTGCTAAGGTTTGTGTGTATGTAATTTGTGGTTGTAAAAAGTGTAATTCGATGCAGTTGTCGCACTACAGCGTTAAACACATTCAGTAAAAACTACAGGTTAATTAAGTGATACATAATGTAGTAAGAATGTTTAGTATGTGCAGACATATGTATGCCCATATTGATGAATTTTTCCTTTTAGCTATGTTACTACTTTATGTAATCCTAAAAAAGACAAGAGTTTTTTTTTTTTTTATATTTTTTATGTTATAAAAAAATTATATCTCGTATATAGAACATTTCTAATAAACACTTTTAAAATAAAGATCACACTGCAACTTATAAAGATCATTTAAAGGTGTATTTGCTCCAATGGGAACCCTAAATTTGGGATTCTATTGTACTAGTAGTGTTAACCGAAACTTAAAGTTAACCATTAGAGCTTAATAACAAAATATATCACTTAGTGTTTCAAAATTGTGAGAATGAATGTCAATGGTAATATATTTGTTTTATGTGAAGTTTTCAAAAAGACCACAGTAGTTTGTTATTATGTGAAGTGTTCAAAATGAGTAATCACTTCACATTTTGTTTTGTCACGGATGTGACTCTATATAAAGAGCACTCCTGTGTGTGATTACAACACACATCAAAGAAAAGAAGTGAAAGTAATAATATCAGTATCCCTTCCTTCCTATTTTCCTGGAATATTTTTGTTATAATTACGAACTAAATAGTGTAATATTTTGCATCCGCTTCTCTCATATCCCTAGTAAATATTATCTCTCTAACTTTTCCTATTTATAACACTTTAGAAAAAAGTTTTCAATTTTTCGGTTTGGTTGCCTGCTGTTTCTGTTTTGCCTTATACAACCACTGTCAAATTGGCAACTTCTTATGCTGCAAGCGTTGTTTGTTTCCATCTCTCTTTCCTTTTCCAGATGCCTAATATATATTTGGTTTTGAACGAACATCGTACGGACCAACCAAACCTTCTCTCATAATCCGCACAGCAGCTCCAAGAGTGAATTTTCTTGCAAACAAGTAGCAAGGAGCGACTTCGGAATTCGCACGGCAGAATTCCGTTCGGCCTTCAGACTCGTAGTATACATGTTCGATATCCTGTAGAGCAAGGTGAAATCAGTGTTAGAGACTTGTTTTTAGTGTCATGTTGTTTCTACGTAAGCGGTTTCCACAGTTCGGCGCTGCACTTTGTGCAGTCGCACTTTCACATTGTCCGACTAGTACATTGCTCCCCTCGGAGTGGTAGCTAGGGTATCCGGCGAGTACATTACCGTTATTCGCACTTGAGAAGTGAAGCACCGGAGAAAAACCTCGATATAAGAACTCACCTTAATTTCTCTCATCTTTTGAGGCCCCGCGTCTGCAAAATCGAACTTTATAGGGTGCCAAGATCTCTTTTTACTTCCTGCTGCTGACTGATTCCATGATGTGTAGGTCAGTGCTCTTCGTTCAAGTTCGTCCTCGAGTCCACTTATCTTATTACAATACACAAATCATCAAGAGTTTGAATGAAAAACTCGCCAATAGACATTCCGAAATCAGTTCAAATTTAAAAAGTTAACGTAAAAAAGATTGAAAAACATCGGCTTACTGCAAGTAGTGTCTGGACATAATGTTCGTCGGGGATACAATTGCGTTTTTGCTCAAATGTCTGCAATAGATACTTGATATCGAAATTGAATGCCTGTGAAAAACAAACACATGCAAATACATACTCTTAGAAGGTCAGAAAATGGCTAAACCTTTTTCTTCTTTCTCAAGTAAAGCTTAAAAAGGATGGAATTAACTCACAAGAAGTTTCCTCCTCCATTTTAAATCTCCAGGCGGCCATCGCTGAAAACCGAGCAACATTGCAAGGTATCAAGATATAAACAATTTACAGATCACTGTAAAGTAACAGTCTTCAAAACTCTTCAAAATGTTCCAGAAAATGGAAATAGGACTTGTAAATGCCTCCCTGCATACCTTACAGAATTTCCTGAAGACGGGAAAGACGGTCTTGTCATTGACGATGATTTCTGCATGTCTTCTCACCAAAGCTATCCACTGCGATCAAGTTGACATTACCTCAATGGAGGAAGAATTAATATGTTGAAATGAAAAATTCCAAAATTTAGAAGATTGTCTGCGTATCCTAAACTGTTTTCTTTTTTTTTTTTAAATAATTTTTTTCTCAATTTAACAAATATACAAGGATGATAACAGATGTAAGACCTGGGATCCTTTACGCCATCTCTCCTTAGGTATAGTAGGTGCCATCTTCGGATCATAACGAAATGCATGACCATCAACAAAGCTATAACGCACAGACTAAAAAAATTTCAGCTTCGCTGTTTCTTCGATGTGCAGGAAACACAAGTTTAAAGGTATTTCAAAACAAATCCATTTGCGTTATGCAGATACCATATATACCTGTCTACAAAGCTTTTTGGAGAAGAGATTATGTAGTTGTAAATGTAACTGAAGTTGTATAGAGGTACACAGCTATGGAATAAGCAGATGAAAAGAATTAGTAACATGATTCAGAGGTTTTTTTTACACGAAAATTTAGAAAACTGGCTTGCAATGTGGTTGGAAGAGGTTAATATGAAAGAGGTGAAGAGCTACCTGTCTGAAAGAAGGACAAATCTTTGATTGGCTGGATCGCGCAGAGCTTCTTGGAGTAGTATGCGCTCTGCTTCTATCATGCTCGATTCCCCCCACCCTACCTGAAACAAAATTTTCAGTCAATGTTAAAAACAGCGTAAGATACGAACAAATTGAATCCATAATTGTAGAAGTACTTGAAGAAGCTAAAAGTGCACCTGAATGCTGTTGTTCAACTGTCGACCATGAAAGAAAGCAGACCTCGTGGTTGGTTCATCAAACACAAAACCAGGCTCCGAATGGATATAAATCGAGAAATTTGCGGCATCACCATTCTGCAAAGGTCCCAACAAAACATATCAAAAGATGCAAAACCTCTCTCTCTCTCTCTCTCTTCATGTTTTGGTTATGATCTATGAACCCTCATTCTTGTTATTTGTTTTCTTACTCAGTCCTGATCCAACCATTTTAAATGGATGTAAGATTATCAAACAAACCTTGAAGAAGGTGTTCCATAGAAAATCAAGAGGAAGATCCCAGCGGGCAAGGAAGAGGAAAGCAACTTTTGGAGGGCCTTCAAATTGATTATCGTGAATGGCAGCGGGAAACCTTGTTGGGGATGCAAAGACTGGTGGTTGGTCCTTGGACTGAGAATGGATTAGTCTAAGGAAAGCCAATAGACATAGCAAGACGCTGAGAACGATGAATAGCCTTGAAACGAAGCTCAAAAGCCGGCTCATGGATGATGAAGAAGCTCTCTTCTTGGCCATGGTTACTTTTCCTCTCATTTCCTCATGCAATCTGTGTGTGTGTGTGTGTGTGTGTGTGAGAGAGAGAGAGAGAGAGAGAGAGAGAGAGAGAGAGAGAGAGAGAGAGAACTGAAGGAAACGTTTTGAACCGAGTCAATCAATTAATAAGGAAAGCTGAAACTGCACTTTTGCGTTTCTGTTTCTCCATTTCTGTTATTTGTTTAGAACCCAGCGGCAATGAAACGCATCCCTTCCTCATTTAAGGAATTTTTCTCCAAGCATCTTTCTGTTAATTAAGTAGTTTTTAATTTGATAATTTAGTTTTTTCGCAAGTAAATAGGAACAACATCAGCTGGAACATCAAGAGTTTCACAAGGGGTGTCTTTATTCAGTGAAGATAACTTCGGTATACACAACAAGAACAATGTTCAAATCCATAAAAAATTAGAAGTCCCCCAACATTTGGGTGGAGGCCCCTATTCCCTAGACAACTTTACATTACACGCTTTCGGTAAACTAGGAGTTCATCTTACATCAGCTCTTTCTCTGTCGTTGCCAAAACTACTGCATCTAGTTAACAGTCCACTAGTGTGAAGCTCAAAGAATCGGTATTTGGTCGCAAAGGTATCTTATTTGGTGTTACTCATTAGGTAAGCTACTATGCATCCCAACACAGCACCTGCAACAACCTGAGACCAAACCAAATGAAAAATAGTCACCAAGACTTGCCGATTAACTACGTTGTATGGATATTTTAGCCCGAATTATTCTAAAGCAATACCTTGTGATTGTTTCATACTGATAAAATTATTAGTGATCAGCGAAAAATACACGACGGTCAATGAATAACACTCCAGTCTTGTCCGGTGAAACAACATCTACCAAATAACATCATTTCCAGACACGGAAAGAGGAGTATTGCATACGTGTAAACGAATTATCATTAGACAGCTATGTCGCACATCGTGTCATTGCTTACAAAACATGTTCAACTGATTTACTTCTCGGGGTAGGAAAACAAATTATGAGAAAAACAATCCTTTTATCGTTAAATCGGAGATTCTGTATTGATTTGGTGGGTAATTTGAGGACCAAAATGCAGAATGGGATCAACAAATCATAGGCAGCAAACACAGCTAATCTCATGACAAACTCAAATCTCAAGGGATGTGCAACAATCAAGAGTAGTGCAACAAACCTGTAGCGGAGTATGTCCAAGTGAATCGCGCAGAGGTCTAACGCTGGACAAAGGATGCTCTGGAGGAAGCTCACACACTATTTGGTTCAGCAACTGCAACAATAGTTCACGATTATCACACACACAAGTGTGAAAACATTCTACTTATCAAGCAGTCTGATATGTTACTGTGCAATACTAATAACTCGAGGCACATATCCAAACAAAAACCAACCCAATCGATTTTTCAAATTGACATTCTAACAACATAACGAGTTGAAAAAAAAAACAAGATTACAATTTTATGTAACGCAAAGCTCAAAGAGTTACCTCGGCTTGCCGACCAGCATGAAGTCTCACTCCTGAGGCATCATACATAACCTGAAAACGTTCACATATGTTTACCAAAACGGCGACGTTGCAGCTAAACATGAAATGAAGGGAAAAGGTTGAAATTTTTATACATACAATGCAAGCTAAGACAAAGGCAATGGCGAAGGCAGGTCCTCCGGTGCCGTCCTTAAGGCCAACGGCGACGGCCAGAGCCGTCACCGTGGCGGAATGTGACGACGGCATCCCGCCGGAATCGAGCATTTTCTTCGAGTCCCATCTCTTTTCTTTGTACCTAAAAACACTCACAAAAGACTGAATTCCACACCAATTTCACCCTAGAAATTCCAAATTTAATTTCAAATCGCAAAATTGAGCTGCAGAAATGAGAGATTGTACTGACCAGGTGGTGAAGAGCTTGAGGAACTGAGCGAGAGCGCATGCTAGGAGCGCAGCGAGGAGAGCGAGGTTCGATGGGATCGCCGCCGCCGTCGACCGCGAAGACGACGTCGTCGCATCCGCAGCCGTCATCACCTCGTCAATTCTCTCTCACAAGAGTCAGATACCGGGGGAACCAGAAAAGAAGGAAAGAGGAGGAGCAGTATGAGTCGACTGGGCCCCACAGCCGAGTCCAACCCGCCAATCAGAGATGAGCTGGAATGCATTGTCTGTTTTTATTTTTTTCTACTTTGATCACATTAAATATGCACCGTCCAATCAGGAGAAAGGGTTTGCTGGATTTTTTAATTTATTTTCCAACATTTTTTTGGGATCAATGCGATGGATTTGGTTTGTGGAATTTCGGTTCTCTGTGGAAGAAGTAAAGTAGTTTCCATGGACGAAGAAATTCTACTGTTCACAAGGATAAGTGGAGTTGGAGATAAACTTCGCTAAAGCTGACTAACGAGTCAGTCTAACGAGTTATTTTTGTACCTATCTTTCGTATGCGGCACTAGACATAAGAAGTAAAAAGACTTTCTTACTATTAATGCATAGTTTTAATGACGTCACCGGTCCAACGAATATTGCTAAAAATTGGCCTCAATATTTGTGGATATTTGCATTGTTACATCAGAGTATCTCTCGGGGTCAATTTCACAGTGGGTGGGTCTAAGTACGATGCGCATCCCACCTAGGGCAGCTCTCACATTAGGTCCGATTAGCGTAGATCAAGGGACATCAAAACATAGAGACCTCGTAATTTGGAGATGATTCCTAATAAATGTGGTAAGATATGTCGACAATGCCCCCTACAATTCCTTTACAATGCCCCCTCTGGATTGCAGATATGTCGACCTCCTAAGCCGAAAAACAAAATTCACAACACCCTCTTAAGGGATGACCTTCTGAGCATCGTCCTCGGGAGTTGATGCTGATGAAGAACCGCTACATTTGCTTGGCAATGGTGTATTCCTTTGAGAAGTGCGTTTTGTCAGGACAACTGCGGGCACCTTCTCAAATTCCTGGGCAGGGGGGGTCGTTCTCGCTGTCATCTTCGCCGTTGAAAACTGGGAGGCTCTCTTGTGCGTTCCAGTGTACCTTTCGTCATTGCTTCCTGCAATCCACCATAACAAAATGTTCATCGCAGTCAAATCACTTGGACCAACACAGAGAGAACTAGGAATGTCAAAATGTGAATTTATATTGATAGCAATCAATTGGATACAGTAGCATACATTTCGGCTGCAGCCCGCTACTCTTATCGCATTTTTTATACCACATCTTTAATAGAAATGTAACCCAAATGCGTTGGCAGACCCCACTTCTATTAGAGATGTGATACAAATGTGGTATAAAAAATGTGATAAAAGTAGCAATTTTGATAAATATAAGACATAGATGGAGTGAATTGCAGGTGACTCATGACTATAGAGAAAAAGGTGGTGGGATTCATTGAAAGAGAGGGAGCTAAAGATGGTGGAGAAGGGATGATGGTCGGGTAGGGGTTTAAATCCTAACAGAGATTTGACAGAATTCTTACTTTTGGATAAAATTTGTTAGCAAGCTTTACCAAAAGAGCACTTTTCCGAATAATTTATCACCACATGGATTATTAATCCGATTTGGCCTTGCAAACATATGATACAAGTTTGCATGTCCCTTTTTGGTTACTCGTCTCTCTGAACACGTGAATCACGTGATGATGAGAGATTCAATGGTGACAAAATTGTTCTTTGCAAGAGAAAGACTTGTTTTGAGGTGCGTCGACAATGTCTTTTGTAAGACACATGTATAAACACGTCCCAAACGAATCATTCTCTATATTTATACAAACGCTAGTTTATCAAGAATACACAAGAAAAACACATAGGATATCAAATTGGGACTACAATGTCTTTTGTCAGACAGCTTAACAAACATATTTTCTTTGGAAAACACAAATAATCCGCAGCAGCGAGTGGGCAGACATCTTTCCCAAATGTTCCCACTTGTTTGTCCAAGACAACACAGATGCATCGTCACATGCACAAAGGATGCAATTCAAACACACATGCCAGCAAGCTTAGACAATGCCGGGAAACTTGGAACTTGCGTGTGACGATTTTAGTTCTTTTGATGCACGGCAACCCGATGGATGTCCATCTCCTTCAGCATGACAGAACGCCCACATGAGTCACACGGGGCTGTTCTCGACCCACATGCACTCTCGTGCTCAGACAATCCTCTCATTCTGTCCCGAACATCTATAGCAGAGTTTCCAGCTTGAACCATGTCCCCACAGAATCGACATGTGATTAGGCGAAGGGGGCAAACGGATGCTTGGTGTTGCACCTGAACACACGGCAAAAACAGAAAATTTCAGCCATTAGGCCCGTTACAAGAAATTCATAGTTAATGATCTAATTTGAAAGAAAACTTTTAGCAATGAAAGTAAATGAAAAATGTAATGATGCAATACGGAGGAGGGGTAGAATAGTTCTTACCATCTCTTCCTTCTCGAGCACAATTCCACAGGAGCAGTGAAGTGGCTCATGGAACACTTTCAAGTGCTTTTCCATTTCCCCCTGATGAAAAGCTTGCTCACATTTCGGACAATGGACGTGATTCTTGGCCTCCTCAACCCTGAGAACAACTCCGCAACCAGCATGCTGACAAACAACATTATGTCTGCTACAATAGGCTTCATGAAGCGATAATGTGCGACTGGGTATATAACGCTTACAATTCTTACACTCTACAGTATCCATGTCCATTGGTGATGAGGAAGAAACAGCCTGCTGACCTATCGTCCGATTACTGTCATCTTGAACATTCACTGATACTTGGTACTTGGTTGTTCCCTTAAACCCGTACACACCAACACTGTAAGTTACTGCTTCCAAGCTCTTGTCTTTTGAGCCAAGGATCAATACCTTCGAACCAATGTCATGGGATGACCATTCATGCTGGTGCCTTGTTGGGAATATTAGAGGATGCTTGGAGATGTAAATATCAGTATCTCCAGAATTTGGCTCCGCTTCTATCCTCACCTCAACTTTCGCATCTCCCGAAGCAATTTTCTCCCAAGTATCATTATCTATGGTAAACTTGTAATACGTGTAGTGCCCTTCGTCAACTGTTCCAGATTCTAACGTTCCAAATATAAGTGGTTTTAGGACATTTTCATGAGTCTTCTCCGAATCATTATCAGCACCAACTATGTCAACTTCAATATCCGTTTCTAGAACAGATACACTTGAAGAGGGTTTTAACTCAAGGACCTGTAACTTATATACCAGCTCCCCGTAGTTGACTGTAAATATATCATCCTGAGAAAGGGTGGCATGCTGACGAAGGCTTGTTTCGAGGATGGCCTTGTGATTGGGCAAGTCTGAAAAACCTATCCTAAGAGGTTGAAGTTTTGCATAAGTCCCTTTAGAAAGCCAGACATAGAGAACTTCTATCAAAGGAATATTTGGTGTATCAGTCGGAAATAAGTTCTGCCATACATGAGGAGGAAGCCCAACAAAACCTTCATCTGCAGTGAACTCCAAAACGCCTGAATGCGTGCTCCTACCCTTCTCCTTATCAGCATCAATTGTTTCTGACGAGCCCCCTTGATGTACTGTTGACAACTTAAAGTACAAGGGACCTTGATCAAACGCACCTTGATCTTGCAATTCGTTGAAGCAGGAAGCTGGCAACTTAATCTTATCTCCACTACCCTGGCAACGTACAGCTTCAAATACGCGGTAAAACATGATTCCCCGTCCGACAAGTAAACTTTCTTGCATTTGTTGATCAGCCTGAAGAAATATAGTTGGAATTATTAAAAAAAAAAAAAAAAAAACCAATTAATCAACTGAAAAAAATTTGAACCTCCCACATCACTACCCTAATAACAAAGATAAAATACGGCTTTTTTAGGTAATGTAGATTAAAGGAAGCAGGTCCATACTGATTCAAATTCATGTGATACATATTTGGTACATTTAGGACGGTAGGAACAAATCAATAGCCATTAAGATTTACACGGGCACATTGTAATCATAAGGCCTATGCTCCGAAAAAATAAGAATAACATCTGGCACTAGCTATTCGATTCCAACGACATTGATTGCCATTGTGTGTTCTAAAATTTACAGGGATAAACGAAAAAAGCGAAGATTTGCTATCAATAAAGTCATAAATTTTCAAAGAATTACTCAATTTTCTATGAATCGAGTCATAAAAATTTGAAGAAATACTCGATTTTCTACCAATAAAGTCATGAGCTTTCGAACAACTAGGCGATTTTCTACAAATAAAGTCACAAAATTTCGAAACCCAATGCAATTTCAAACACCCTTTCTAAACAGTGGGAGCAATCAGTGTACAAAACAAGCTTAAATTCAAGAAGAAAAAATGACCAATTTCAACAATCAAAAGCAATCCGGAAATTAATTAATGGGAATTGAGAAGGGACCTTGAGTTGGGCTTGGGCGGCATCGAAGAGGCGTCTGGACCGCTCGGCGTCAATGGCTTCTCTCTGCTTCTTACCTTCCTCTTTGGCCTTCCTCTCCTTCTCCAATTTCCGCCTCGCACTCTCTTTCCTCTCCTTCTGCTCCTTCTCTAGCTTCTCTCTCGCTCTTCTCAGCTCGAAATCCATCTCTCTCTCTCTCCCTCTGCTCGTTGGTCGTCTTTGGAAGCTTTTGATGTTCTCAGAAATCAGAGTCGGAGTTCGTGTTGGTTAAGAAACCACAGAACAGGAAGAGAAAATAGAGGGCATTTTTGCTCACCATCATTAGTATAATAATGCTTACTTCTTATTTATTAGATGGATTTGAATTTTAAAATTCACATGGATAATTACAAATTTTAAAATTTAAACTTATATATCTGTAATAAATAAGATGATGAACATACACTACATTAAATAGTGGTAAACAAAAATGAAGTTAGAGAAATTAGCTTTTAATGTTCTTCTAGATAGGGCTGGGTTCGGTTCTCATCGGTTCGGTTTTTTCTCAAAACCGAAACCGAATCGAAATTTCGGTTCGGTTCGGTTCGGTTTAATTTTATTTCGGTTCGGTTTCGGTTTTTTTTTTTTTTTTTCTCCCTCCAAAATTATTAAAAAAAAAAATGGAAATATGAAAGTTCACATTCAAAGCCACTTCTTCAAAGTCATCCACATGAAAACCTACAAGTATAAAATCAATTTTACACATCTACATTTGACATAAAAGGAAAGATATGCCATTTGAGAAGTGGTTACTACTATCATAACCTTAGAGACCATATTCAACAACAAAACCACAATGAGAATCCAAAGTTTAAGTCTTCTAAGTTCCAACTAGAATCATCAATCAAGTCTTCCAATTTCCAAAGTCCAAACTTCAATAAACATCAAAGTTTAAGTCTTCAAAAAGTCCAAATTTAAAATAAACATCACACAAGTCAAATAAACCTTCAACGTTTCATCATTTCATGTCTTGGGACAAATAAAATCTTCCAAGTCCTCAAGCTCAATGCTTAGGCGGCCTAGGCGGCAACATAGCACCTTTGTTTGAGTTTCCACTTGCCATTTCTACATACAAATAAAAAATGAAACATGTCAACATGATGTAAAGCAAGCATGTAATTAAAATAGTCTAAGTTCTAACAAAACCAAATGGAATAAGTAAAATTACCTTTCTCAACTTCTTCACAAAGTTCAATCTCCTCAATGGTTGGCTCATGATGTAATGCTACATGAATTGACCTAAGCCAATTTTGTGTACAAATCAAAGCTTCCACCATTTTTGGACTCAAAGAACTACGATATGGATCAATTATTCGTCCACTTGTGCTAAAGGAGGATTCCGAAGCTATGGTTGATACGGGAATAGCTAAAATCTCTTTTGCAACTCGTGCCAAAATATGATACTTAGAAAGCCCATTCACCCTCCACCAATTCAAGATATCAAAGTTTGCCTCTTCTTCCCCTTCAAATGGATCCGAAAGATACCTATCCAAATCATTGTGCACAATACGGGCTCTCTTTGCTTTTCTCATTTCACTTTTCTCTTTCAACTTTCTTTCAATCTCTGTCATGCTTGATAAAGGATCTCCACTTGTAGTTGCCGATTGAGAACTACCAACACTACTTGTGCTTTGTTGTGTATCAAAAGACAACTCTTCATGAATCTTGTAAAGATCAAACAACAAATTTTTCACCGCATTGGTTGCAATTTCAACTTTTTCCTCATCCTCGCCATATAGTATCTCATAATAATCAACCACCTTCTCCAATTTATGACGAGGATCAAGAACAAGTGCAATAAAAACATATTGATTCATATCATCAATTGAACCCCAATATTTGTCATATTTTTCTTGCATCAACATGGAGATCATAGACAAGAATTCATTATCTTTGTTTTCAAGGAGGAGACTTTTGATCTTAAACAAATCACCAAAAGTAGTATGAATTGTTGGAGTATTAGAACAACACACTTTTAAAGTGACTTCATAGAAAGGTCTCAAAAAGGATGCAAATATTCCCGCCTCACTCCAATCATGAGTCGAAGGTGGCCCCTCCCTTATATTATCATGATTTTCTTTAGTAAAGTAAGGAAGGTAATGACCATCATCTACTTTCAACCTATCAAAAGCCATCTTGAACTTCAAAGCCGATTCTAACATTAAAAATGTGGAATTCCACCTAGTAGGCACATCTAAAATCACAAGCCCTTTGCTTTCTATTCTCACCTTCTCAACACACCTTTTAAAGCTCTCCAACCTTTGAGGGGAAGATCTTACATACCTAACCGCATTACGAATGCTTTGTATGGCGGTATTCAACATCTTTATCCCATAATTCACCACCAAATTAAGGATATGAGCAACACACCTCATGTGCAAATACTTTCCATCATGCAAAAGTGCATTAGGAATCCCCCACCCACTTATTCGGTGCACCAAATCCCTTAAGCCGGAATCATTTGCCGAAGCATTGTCAACCGTAATAGTTAATACCTTCTCTATGCCCCACTCCACCAAACACTCCTCCAAAAGTTGAGCAATGGATTCTCCTTTATGATTTGGAATGACACAAAAGTTCAAAATCTTTTTATGCAACATCCAATCATCATCAATAAAATGAGCGGTGAAAACCATATAATTTATTTGTTGAATAGAAGTCCATGTATCCGTTGTTAGACACACCCTAAATGTTTTCAATTGACTTTTCAATTTCTCCTTTTCGGAGTAAAACAAGCCAAGTACATCTTTAGCTATTGTCTTACGACTAGGCACTCTCCACAAAGGACATGCATACATGCAAAAATGACGAAAACCATCTCCCTCGACGAAAGAAAAAGGTAACTTGTCTATAATTATCATCTCAACACAAGCCTTAGTAACTTTCACTTGAGAAAAACCAATAGCTTCCAACTTATCTTTTGTGTCGGCAAAGGTTAAGATCTTTTGCCTATTTGCGGCAAATATTTCCTTATTAGGACCATAGCTCCTACATCTAGCTAAGTGATTTCTTATGCTAGTTGTACCATTTTTATCCGTGTCGGCCATATACGATTTGTTGCAATACTTGCACACCCCTTTAACTCTACCTCCCTCAATTATCCTATCAAAATGCTCCCAAATTGTCGATCTTGAATGACTTTTTAGTGAATCCAAGAGAGTGTCTTCTTTACTTACTTGATCACTTGAGCCACCTTGTTGAGTAAGAGGAGCTTATTGAGTTGCCACCATGGGGGCTTGAGGTGGAGTTGATTCACCAACAATGTCCTTCAAAAATAAGAGTAAGAATCATTACAATTAATTATTAAATAAATTGAGACATAAGAACCATAGAGAAAGTATAGAGAATTAGAGATGATAACTTACTTGCGATGGAGTAGAAGTAGGTGAGTTTATTTTTTCACGGGAGCTATTTGATGATCTCATTGAGTTTGAGCTTGAGCTCGAGGCCTTTGATGCACTTGACTTCATCTAATTAAGATACAAAACATATAATAAGCAAAGGTACGATGCACATGCAAAAGCAAAGATACAAAACATATGAAGTTCTTGTCTTTGAAGGAGAGGAAAGCATTATTTCTGATTATGGGTGTTTTTTCCTTGTATGAAACTAATGGAAGCAGCTTGCTTTATTATTATTTCTCATGAAAAATTTCTGCATAACTGAAGCCTAGTGTAAATTGCATGAAATCATTGTTTGTATTTCATCCTCGAACTACCACATTGTTTCTTTAGCTAGGAAACACTTCTGTGTGGGTGCGTGTAAACAACATGGGCCTGCAATATATATTTTCAATGTTTAGTGGAACTTTTCTTATAACCAACTTTATTTGCTTCTAAGGGTTATACTTGCAGATTGTTTGCTACTGGAGTCCTAAATAATCTTACGCAACATGATTAAAAGTAGAAATGTTTTAACAATTTAATATGAAGTCATGACAATGGAATGGGTTCTTAAGAAACTGCACTAAGTTAGATGCAATTTGATTAAGAATGAAATGCATTGATGCATGCTTGTCTTCTAGTACTGGTTAGTAAACTAAGGAAAATTATGGATGTATAAATGGAAATTTACATCATATAGGGTTCTTTATCATGCAATACTTGGAAAACAATGTGGAGCTTAGGAATGGTACAGTGGTCTTTATCATATAGGGTTCTTTATCATGCATTATTGCATTTCACTCTCTCTAAGGTCTGATGAGGGGAAAGTGCAGCACCCAAATCATACATTGCGACATTAAGCCTCAGAACATACTTCGAGTTGGTTGGAGTTTGTTCCGAAGAGGAAGAACCCTCTGATTGGATGATAAAAGTTAATATTTTATATAGGGCATCTTCCTTATGATTTTAATGACCTTAAACTGGTTTTAAATGTGCTTGTAGAGTCTAGACTGCGCATAATATTTAAAACCCTTTTTAAGTGATAAGCAAAAATTTTGAATTGAGATCCAGCTTGTAATGGTGGAGCTGGAGCCAATGACTTTGTTAGGTAACTAATTTAGAGCCCACATATTTAGTAATAATAACTTGATCAATCATGATAATTCGTTCCCATATAAAAATTTTGGTGAAAGATACATGAGAAAAATTAGTATAACAGTTAGGTAACATATGAAAGTGATCTTAATAATGAAACTCGTGTCAAATACGAATCATACATTTCCCTCAACATACGTTTTGATAAAACAGACAAAACTAACACTTTGTTCTATATATGCTAAAAAATGTAGCCTTTTTCTTTTCGAAAGCCACATTGACAGTTATATACACAACTTCTGTAATTGAACCATCTTTTGGGGAAAGAAAAATACAGATCAAAAATAAAATTTGTAAGAACCTACCGAATAGTATCACCACAAAATTTGCAAAGCTTGAAATGATAGTCGTATCTCTACAAAGAAACAAAGAGTACCTGTAAAGAAACCCAATTAGATACAGGAAAGAATGAAAGCTCTGAAAAATTGATTACCAAAAAAACCCCAATTAGATATTGAAACCGAGAGTAATCTCACTCACTGTAATTGTAGATAGTAAACTAAAATTATGCAATACAACAAACTGAAGCCAAGCCAAACAAAATTAAAGCACAACCCAAAGGAAACAAAATTAAAATACATAGAGTGGCAGAGTGCTATGGGAGTAAAGCCAAGGTAGATCGATAGAACACCAAACGAAATAACTACCCCTGAATTTCATGAAGGACAACCTATATTAGAGGCAGGATTATGCAGAAAATGCAGAAAAGGCAAAAATGTTGATGCAGGATTATGCATAT